ACGCGCCTCACACCGACGGGCGAAACGAATGCCGGCGCGCCTGCGCGTCTGTCCACGCCGTGACGAAAAAAAATGCTGGTGTAGAGAGCTATATTGTCTCGTTTTATTTTAATAAATTAAAATAAAATAATCAGTGCGTTCAAAAAATATTTTTTCAAGTAATTAACACTCTGCATGTGTATTATTATTCATTATTCATAAGTTTTACTTTTTTTTCACATTCTTACTTACAATTAACAACTTAACATATCGGAAAATCTTAACATCTATACAGTTTCGAACCCTACCTAACTTATATCTAACGCAACCTAAAATCGCACGCATTTATACTAAGCCTCTCGGCTACGCAATCGCTATGGAGAAAATTTCATGTTACCCGCATTTATCTCTTTTCGATAAAGTGAATCATAAATTATATTTATTTAGATAAGTTACTGAATTAAAATATAAACATTTATAATAATAATAATAATAATAATAATAATAATAATAATAATAATAATAATAATAATAAACAGTATTATTAATTTAAAATTACTTATTTTAATTATTAAATTATTAGATTATAATGTTAATGATTTTATTTATTTATATATTTTTTACTAATTAATTAGTAATTTATTAAAAATTAATTAACTAATTATTAAGTGATTATACATGAATTGCATACTTTGGAAATTGATAAATAATTAAAATGCATATAGCAATTAATGATCGCACCACTGATATAAACAAAATTGTCCAAAGAACTGAACCGTGCTACACGTGCTTCTTGTAACCTAGAAATGTTGGATCACTTTGACGTCAGGTTACGGTCGCTGCGCATGACAGTAGTGACGTGATCACACACATAGGTGTGTAACAGTAGTGGTACGGATTACTACTTTTACGAGTAAAAAGTTTGTTCTGCAATAGTAAAAGTTGCTTCTTGCAGAAGCAATCTTTATTTTCCGCAGTATTAATTATTAGAATTTCTACAAGTAATATTTACAACATATCGAATGTAAAAAGTAATACAAAATTTAATAAAATTTACAATGACGATGTAAAAATTAAAATTCTTAAAGCAATTTTTAAACGTGACTACTGTAATAATTACTATTAGTAATTTTTACTACCAAAAATAGTAATTTTTACTTCATGCGAAGTACATTTTACTATGAATAGTAATTTTTAATATAAAAGTAGAATTATTACTATTCCATAGGAACTTTTACTAGAAACTCAGCACCATTTTTCTCCGTGTAGGAAAAATTTGAAAAAATTCACAGATATTCTTTAAGGTGTGTGCAATTAATTTTTGTTTTTGTAATTAAAAAATAATAAGTAATTTATTGTTTACACAGCTTTATTCAGCTTAATGCTATCTTTTAAAAAAATAGAGATAAAATGACGTTTTTAGTTTAAAATGTGCAATTTTATAGTAGGATAAAATTACATAAATTAAAAACTAAATAAATAGAATATTCTTCTCAAAAAATGAATATACATATTTTGGGCTTTAATGAGAATCGACGTGTGGCTGCCATAAAGCAAGAAGTTGTAGAAAAAAAAGAGTTTCGAGTGTACAATAGAAAACCCAGAAGAAAATCGCCAGATGTGGGATTGCACTCAGGGATGTCTCTACGCTTAACAGATAAAATCCTTGAGTGGCTCTCAATAAATGAGACAAAATTTTATGAAATAATATTTTTATCCAGAACAATTTTTTAAACAAAACGAAACTTTATACATTGTTTATGCAAAATTAATTTTGCATACTAGATTTTCAATAAGTTGCATACTACATTTTTATAGTATTATGCAAATTTGATGTAAAAAATTTTATTTTGCAAAACCAGTTTTGTAAAAAAAAAATTTTTAAATCCAATTTGCAGTTTTTTTTGCAATATCCCAAGTAGAACGTAATATTACTGTAGTGTAACATGTAATATTAGTAATATTGCAATGTATTAGTAATATTATTAATAGCATTACAGTAATATACATGGTAATATTACTTTAACATTACAGGTAATGTTACAGTAATTAATTATTTAATACTTAATGTGTTTCATGTAGTCAAATTTTCCTTAGAAAAAAGATTAAATAATAAATGTATAAAATTTCGCTTAGGAATGTAGCATAATTTATTATAAATTAATAAGTAGATCATATTATAAATTACAAATATTAATTAATAAGTAGTAGTTTAAAAAATTGTTCTGGATAAAAATATTATTTCATAAAATTTTGTCTCATTTATTGGGAGCCACTCAAGGATTTTATCTGTTAAGCGTAGAGACATCCCTGAGTGCAATCCCACATCTGGCGATTTTCTTCTGGGTTTTCTATTGTACACTCGAAACTCTTTTTTTTCTACAACTTCTTGCTTTATGGCAGCCACACGTCGATTCTCATTAAAGCCCAAAATATGTATATTCATTTTTTGAGAAGAATATTCAATTTATTTAGTTTTTAATTTATGTAATTTTATCCTACTATAAAATTGCACATTTTAAGCTAAAAAACGTCATTTTATCTCTATTTGTTTAAAAGATAGCATTAAGCTGAATAAAGCTGTGTAAACAATAAATTAATTATTATGATGATGTTGAATTTATCACTTGGTTAAAATGGTCATGATAGATTTGGAGGAAGTATGTTTTGAAAAATTATCCTTTTTACCGTTGTTTTTCTTTCGTTATGTGGATGACATTATTACATGTATTCCTTTTGATAAAATTGACGAGATCTTGAATGTTTTTAACTCTTATGATGAACGCTTACAATTTACATGTGAAGTTGAAAATGATAATTTTATAAATTTTCTTGACGTACTTATTATAAAGCAAAACAATCTTTTAATAACTGACTGGTTTATGAAACCTACCTTTTCTGGACGCTTTTTAAATTTTTATTCACATAATCCGATTTCTCAAAAAATTGGTATTGTTTATAACCTCATTGACAGAGCGATAAAATTATCACATAAAAAATTCCACGAAAAAAATATCAAAATTGCCAAAAATCTTCTTTTAGACAATGGCTATCCTTCAGATTTTATTGATAAGTTTATAAGAAAACGACTTCACATGATCAATATGAATGAAAGACCGGTGGACAAAGATATTTTTTACCGTAATGTCAAAAAAATTGTTTTACCCTACTCAGAACATATTTATTATAAAGCTACAAAATTGTTACATGAAAATAATATTTTCACAATTTCAAAAATAAATAACAATAATAAACTTATTAAAAAAGGCAAAGATATAACTCAAAAAAACAATAAAACAAATTGTGTCTATAAAATTAATTGTAGGGATTGTTCATCTTGTTATGTTGGTGAAACAAAAAGAATGTTGAGTGTAAGAGTGGATGAACATAAAATGTCGAAAACTAATGTTGTCGCGATACATAAACGTGATTTTAAACATCAATTTGATTGGGATAATGTTTTGGTATTAGATAATGAACCTGTTTGGCGAAAAAGACTAATTTCCGAGATGATCCATATTGGATTACAGATAAAACCCCTCAATAAAAAAGAGGATACAAAAAATCTAAGTCAAATTTATAAAAACTTTTTTTCTTCAAAATTATTTTATAGGAATTTAATTTAATTGAGTAAATTTACACAATTTAGAATTTAGATTTATATTCATTAATATATAAACACAATAATTACACCTGTCATAGGTTCATCGACCTTTTTTTCAATAACATATTTATTTCTATATATTTATATTAATGGATTTTGTATTGTTTAGTTAGTCTTCGTCCGGCAATGTACACGTTCATTTGATTGAACAAAATTTTATATCAACTTTTTTTTTCGGTAAATGTTAATTATTAAAAATTTTTTTATATGTACAAATAATTTTTTTATCTTATTATTATAATAAATTTTAGTTTCTGAAGAGGACGATTGTATCGTCGAAACGTTAAAACGGAGTGTTTTTATTTTAACCTGACTTGGATAGATTGATAGTATTTCATCTCTAATTTATACAAATTAATTATTATTTTTTAATTTCAAAAACAAAAATTAATTGTACACACCTTAAAGAATATCTGTGAATTTTTTAAAATTTTTCCTACTAGCAGTTTCGCTTGGGGAACAGGTGAAAGTATAGACTTGTAAAAAAGGGCTGAAAAACTGTGTTTTTTGGCACATTTTGTGTCATAGCTACTGCAAAAAATTTTTTGTGGTCTCGAAATATACTTTTTTTCATTCTCAAGACTTTAAGCTTTCATAAATTTTTTTACCAGAATGTTGAGAGATTTTTTTTCAATGAGATATAAACAAAAAAAGCCAGAGTCGCTTTCTTTTGTCCCCGACTTTAGTTCGAATGTCGAAAATTCGACATTCGAGTTACTATAAAATTCGAACCGAACCGAGTTGTGTTCGGTTTTAGTACGCTAAAATGTCGAATTCTAAAATTCGGCATTACAGTCGCCCAGTTCGAATGTCGAATATTCGACATTCGAGTTAGCTTAGTTCGGATGTCGAATATTCGACATTTCGGCGCCCCAAAAACCGAACAAAACTAGGTTCGATTCGAATTTTGCACAGCTCTAAAAATAATCCTTTGTCAATTTTTACCAAGTCAGTGAGAAATATTTTGAATAGAATTGTTCTGAAATTTTGCGAAATTTTGATATTTTAACGAAAGTCTGTCGACTTTGGGTAAAATATCCAAATTTCGCTAAGGTCTCTCTGTTATATTGAGAAATAATAAGGAATAAAATGGAATAATATTTTTAAATATAAAATATATGAAATGTATAAAAATGGGAATGTTCTGATCACCCAGTGTGTAGATTATTGGCGCGAGACATGTAGAATGAAAATGAAAAAAGTGAGCGTATAGGGCACTTCGGAAAACTATGAAACGTATAAACTGACATTAGTTGGGTTCGAGGAAAATTTATTGACACAAGCAAAAGGATATCGATTCTGTATACTGTTGGTAATTGGAGTATTTATGGGACAATCAATCACTTCTCTGTTACAGTCCCGCCGATGCTATCTATACCACATCAATTGGTCGGTGTGCCCTTAGGATATTCAGTGACTTTGGAATGTCACACGGAGGCGCATCCGACTTCTTTAAATTACTGGACTCGCGAAGACGGCCCCATGATACACGAGAATAAAAAGTACAAAGTCACGTCCACTCCTGAGAAACCCCCGTACAAAACGAATATGACATTGACTATTTTCGATATACAGGTGAGTGTTGAATGTTGATTTTATAAAATATATACATACATCAATTTATTAGGGTTTTCATTTTTTTAAATTTATTTATTCACTTTACTTTCACTTACACCTCACTCTCATTTCAATTTTAGTATTTTATTTCATTTTCACTTCATATTCTCTTCACTTTCATACCACATTCACTTCATTTTTACTCCATTTTCACTTCACCATCACTTCACTTTTAAACACTCTCACTCCACTTATACGTCCATTTTAATTCACTTTCACTTCACTTTTATTTCATTTTGCTTCCTCCTGAGGAAGCTTTGCATTCGTGACGATTTTCAATTTTTCAAAAGAAGGTTATATGGACTCATTTTCATCTAGAACATATGTATATTCAATTATGAGCAAATGTCCAGATGTATGTGCACGGAGAGAGATTCTGTTTTAATATTTCGTATTATTATATTAGTATTTAGTAAAACCGATTGCAATTTGGGGAAATCATGTACATTTATGAATTAATATTACCATTTTTAAGAAAGTTTATAATCAAATTATTACTTTGTATTATTCTGTAGTAATAGAAATTGAAATAGTCAATAAGAAGTTGTAATATTATAAGTAAGAAAGTATGCAATAGTAAAAAGTATTACCAGATGATTATACTAAATACTATCGAAGAATTACATAAGTTGTTAATTTAGTTATGAATAGTATTATCGACTATAATAAAAATTATGACCAGCCTAGTAGCAGGCCATAGCAGGCTATGGGCTGACGTCAGGCTGACGTAGAGCGGTTACGAAGCTGTCCGAGATTAGCCGAATATTTCAGTCGAGCAGTTCCGAAATTATCCGAGTCAAACCTCGTGGCAACATGTGCACGTTGTGTTTACCCCAAAATATTTTAATTTGATGTGTCAAAATGTGTCGGAATTGGGTGAATAATTTTATTTTGTTCATTCAATAATTTTAATCGACAATGAAGATTTCCTAATTGTAGTAAAAGGCATAGTCCATTGTCTTTTAAATGAGCATTTGAGAGCATTCAAAATTTACACGGAAAAAAATTAATCTCTAAATTAGAGATTTAATATGAGATTTAGGCATAAACTATCACTGGAATCGGATGTGTGATTTGAACAGATCTCTAAAACTGAAATTTAGAGTTATATCTAATCCGCATATATTATCAGTGTGAAGAATCCGTATTTTTATGCCTGAAAATGATATTAGAAATCTCAAATTTTATGATTTATCACAATTTAGAGTGAGAATTATTCAAAGAATGTATATTTTTCTTTTAGTGTGAACTTATAAACAAATCCATTGACAATCATAAAAAATTGGACATTTTTTGAAGATAATATGAATTTTTTATTATTTCATTTCTTTATTTGAATCAAATTATCTCAACATCACACAATATAAACATTCTTTTTCTATTTCTTAATAAAAAAAACATGGTTTGGTACAACTTTCAATATAGGTTAGGTTTTCAAGTGTCAAACGAAAGTTTAACCTGAAAATACTAATAAATAAAAATATGTCCCACACGTGATAACGCGAAAAACATTCGTAAAATATGGAAAGTGAAAACTGGGAATGAAACGCATTTAAAACATAAAATTAATACTTAAATAATTAAAAAGGTTTAAATATTCTTTGACAATGATGAACTTAAAACGCAATGTAATTCACATCAGATAAGTTGTGAAATTAACAAATCTCTAAATCAGAGATGTGAATTTAATTGTGACTATAATGTCTATTTTAGACATACCGTCAACCGGGGCTATTTTGTGCACCAAATAGCTTTTTTTTTATTCAAAGATTTATTTAAATTCAGAATTAAGAGAATAAAGAAAATCAACTTTTGATATATGTTGTGGACATCCTTCTGAAGCTTTCCTATAAATTTGGCAAAGAAAAAAATTTTTTTGTCTTAGTTATAGTCATTGAAAGTCGTGCACACAATAACTCCCGGGATGGGGCTATTTTGTGCATCGAACTTTGTTTTCCTATAATGTTGCGTAAACATTTTTTTAATCGTTTCTGCTTCATGAAATCTTTTGTGTATATATTTGAGAGTAAGTTAAAAAAAGAATGACCTAGTAAAATTTTTTTTGTAGATATATTATACAAAAAATATAAAATAAAGCACTAAAATTTTGCTAAAATCTGAATTTACTAAACATTAACAATCTTTCTTTAAATTGTATATTACGCAGATAGTAAATAACATTTTTTTCTTTTTCAATATATATTTTATAATAATATACTAATATAATTATAAAATGATCGTTTAAACACTTATAAATAACTTTAAAACATCATTTCAATAGGAGCTTTTTTAATGGTTTTGAATGATATTTTTAAAAATCTTGAAATAAATATTTTTAAGGTTAAATAGATAACAATTTAATATCTTATATGCTTTTCAAGTCATTTTAAGAGAAACGAGAAAATAGTTTTAAAACTAATTTGAAAAACTTATAAATATTAATTAATGTTCATTTTTTGAGGTTACGTTGTGCAGCGGTTGAGCTTTTAATCGTTTTAATGATTTTAATTAACGTATTTACAGTTTTTTGACAGAAAAGTAAGACAAAAATGTATTAAAATGATAAACAGAATCTTCTTTACTTACTAAATAAAACATTTATGAAAAATATTTGATTTTTTTAAGTGCACAAAATAGCCCCATGGAATCCTGGTTTTTCAGTTTTTTCCACTTTTCTCTTAAAATAATGAATAAAAAATTAGCGCATTACGTATGTATCATCACAACACAATTGACAACAAATATCTAACTTAGTTTATGAGACACATTAAAACTCTAGAAGATCTGGTATAATTTTTCCGAACTTTCAAAATTTTTTAAACAAATTTTCCGTTTTTAGGAATTTTTTTCTCTTAATTGACGAAGAATTAAATAATAACATTTAGTGCTCTCTATTGTCATGTAATCAAACTTTCATTTTACAAAATAGCAGATTAAAATAATTCATTTTAATAATTTTTTTCATCAAAAAACTCGCGTGCACAAAATAGCCCCCGGATGCACAAAATAGCCCCAGTTGACGGTACTTACATTCCATTGGATTTCAAATTAATATTATTTCAAGTTTAGATATTAATTTTTTTCCGTGTACGAAAATGAATTAGGACATTGGAAGGTATTTAAAAAAAATGATTTAAGATATGCTGCATTTTCTTATGCCAATAAATTAAATGATGGGTTTTTTTATATAACGAAAAATTGGATATAATTTCAATAGAAATCATTTTCCAGAAACAAACAATTTTAAAAACAGTATTATGATAAACATTTCTGAATAAAATTTTGACCCAGCATACAAAAGTATGTATTTATAATGTAAAATAAATTAAGAACTTTTTTAAACAAAATATGGAGAAAATATCACTTTCTCACAAGTTCAGAAAATTTCTCGAGTTTAGTATATAAGGAAGTTGAGAACTGTATCTCCCAATGTACAGCGTGCGTGCGTTATTGCGTTTATTTGTATTTAAGTTAAGTTTATATGTATGCGTTTATAGGTTTTAACATAGATCTCCGAAATTGTATATAGTTTGTGTTTGTATAGTATGATGTATAGTATGATGCTTGCGTTAGCTCATTAGTGTGTGTGCGAAATACTTTCGAAACGATAATTCTATCCTCCTCCTTCCTACGTCTTTTTATTTCCTGTCCTTTTCGACTCACTCATAATTTTTAGTATTGACTATATTAAAGATTGAAATATGTATTTTATTCTAAAATTTAAAAGAACTATTTCAATTTTTCTTATTCTTTCGATACTTTCACGGACTGCGATTTTAATATAGTCATTTTTAAAAATTATAATTCTTTTATTAAATTGTATTACAATTTTATTAATTTTTGTAAAATATATCAAGGGCTGCCTACTAATATGCACAATATTAATTTTTAATATAAAACACGATTTCCCTAAATTGAAAAAGAATATATTAAATTCTATTGCCAATTTTAACAAATATTAATACAAAATCTCTCTCCGTGTGTGTGTGTGTGTGTGTATGTCACAAAAATTGTGTACAAATTATCTCAAACAAATTTTGATGGATTGTCCTGAAATTTTGCAGGTTTATTGCAGTCATTAATACCTAAAATCTGACGCAAGGATTTTCAAAAATATCTACAAAATTTTTTTTAATACAATTTTTTTAAAATTCAGAAAGAATTTTTTTTTGTATTTTTTGAAATAATTTTTTTATTTGTTAATATTTTTATTAATTATTCTCAAAATTACATTCCTGACAAGAAAACGAATCGATTGATGTATACAAAGTATATATTTTATCAAAATTTATCAAATTAATAAATATTTTTCTTTTAAAAAAAAAATTCAAATTTTGTATTTTTTCATAATTTATTTAATATTAATATTTATATTTTGAAATGATTATTTTATCATAAAAAAGAACCAATTGGCAAATGAAAGTGTAAATTTCACCAAATATTTATATAACAACTTATAAATTATAAATGATTTATATAATTTTATTTTTAACAAATCTTCTGGACGAACCCTTTTGTACATAGTTTTTCAAAAGTTTGCAAAACCGCAATTTTTATACATTGAGGAAGCTAAATGGTCATGAAATGAACAACTTGTTCACTTGACTTTCACTTCATTTAAGTAACTCCATTTTCACTTCACTTTTACTCCACTTTAAAGCGAATGTGAAGTGAAAGTGAGGTAGAAGTGAAGTGAAAATGGAATAATAGTCAAGTAGAGTGAAAGTGAAGTGAATATGAAGTGAAAGTGAGGTGAAAAGGAAGTGAATATATAATGAATATATCTATCCCTATAATATAAAATCATTTCGCCGCCGCCGTCGCTGATTCAGTCATTTCTAAGGGCCCTTTAGAAAGGGCACATAGTCAAGGTTGGCCCACTGTTAAGGTAGGCCCATCGTCAGAAACAAGTTACATTTGACCCATATTCAGGTCAATTTTAAGGGCAGTTTTAACCTTCAGGTCAAAAATTGATAAACTAATCCCTCTGCCCTCAAAATTTAGGTCAATTTAAAGGGCAGTTTTAACCTACAGGTAAAAAATTGACAAACAATTCCCTCTGCTCTCAAAATGTAGGTCAATTTTAAAAGATTTTGACCGAAACGGAGAAAATTGACGAACCTAAATTTTAAGAGCAGTTTTTATCTACACCGCAAAAATTGTCGAGAAAACTCCTTCTGACCTGACCTTCCCTCATAATTTAGGTCAAATTTGACATATTTTTTAACCTACTTATCAAAAAAGCAAATTAATTAGGATACTTCAAGAGGTCGTTACCTTATATTAAAATTTGACAAAATTTTTGACCTATAGGTTAAAAGAAGCTTGACTTAAATTTTAATAGTAAGTTTAAATCAAAATAAAAGATGTTATAAACTGACATCTATTTTTAAAAATTTTATTAAAATTTATTTTCCTTTAGAGGAAAACATAACCTCAAACTTAGTTTAAAAGTTATAGGTGAGAGAGTAAAAATAAAACACCAAAATTAGGTCAGAATAATAGGTGGGAAAGCAAACATAACTTTAAAATTAAATAGAGTCAAAATATAAGTCAAAATTTAATCTAATTTTTCACATATAGGTTAAAAAAAGGTCAATAACGATTGTTTCATTACTTCAAAATCCATGTGTACTTTGTCATATACTTATTGTAATTTATTATGATGCATTCATATTAAAAAAACATTATTTGAAATTTATAAAAATTAAAATAAATATAAAAAATACAGATAGGGGGTTGTATGTAATTTATTATGATGCATTCATATACACGGAAAAAACTGCATGGTTGGGACAACCATATATATTGAAAAATACGGAATATCCATTTTTAAGGTTATCACATCCATATACCACATTCATTTATTTAGTTGACACATCCATAGAAAAAAAATGGATATCCCGTATTTTTCAATATATATATGGTTGTCCCAACCATGCAGTGTTTTCCATGTAAGAAAACATTATTTTAAATTTATAAAAATTTAAATTAAAATAAATATAAAAATAGGGATAGGGGGTTGGCGCGCGAAGCGCGCAGGGGGGCGAAGCCCCCCTAATATATATATATATATATATATATATATATATATATATATATATATATATATATATATATATATATATATATATATATATATATAATATAATGAATATCTCGAAATCATGAAGAGCTTTTGGGTTGCATTTTTTTTTTTAATTGTAGATCTCACCTGCGGACATAAAATGAGAGTACTTTGAGATAGATTAATAAAGTTTAACTAAATTTTTTTTTGATTTTTAATTTTGCAAAAAAACGTTTTTTGCCCATAACTTTAAAAAAATGTTAGGACACCTATAAATGTTTTTCCATAATTTTGTAGAGTTTTTTAGACGCATCTTTTGAGCCATAATTAAAAATTTTCGTCCATATTGACCGGAGATATTAAACTTTTAAAAATAAAAAATTTTGGAAAATAAGATTTTTTGAAAATTTTGTTGAAAAATGTAGAAGTTATTTACAAATTATCATTACCAACTTGTAGAGCATTAAAAAACGCTTCGATTTAGCTATTTTTGAACCTAATTCGATAATAAATTTCGAAATTATTGATATTTTAAAAACCAAAAATTGTGGAAAATGACATTTTCTCAATTTTTTTGTTTGAAAATTTTTGTTTAACTATAAAACTATTATAATTATCTTGTAGGGTACTTAGAAATACATTAATTGACTCAAGATTCAATCACTTTTACCATATTTATAAAAAGTTATTCATATGTTTCTATTATTATTATCTCTATGAGGAAGCAAAGTGTTAATGAAATGAGCACCAAAATTATAAAAAAATATACAACTTATTTTATAATAATAATTTTAAAAAAGATTATAATGGATTAAGTTATTTAAAATATATTCAATTTCATATAACCGAGAGATTAGCTCGGTCGGATAAATGCCTCGCTCGGCGGACGCTGTAGGACCAAGGGTACTTGGTTCGCGCCCATTAGCCTGGGATTTTTCCGACACGTGAGATAATCTAAGCGGGAGGTTTGACGTCGAGGTATGGTGTGTAATGGTGTGTACCGGACAATAATCGACAGTACACATAATTATGTGGACTGTCGATTATTGTCCGGTAAACGCTAGTATTAGGCAAAAGACGAGTGTAAAAATAAATAAAATAAATAAAAATAAATATTCAATTTCATATTCTATAAAGTTCCATTACTGTCCAGATAGAGAATAAATTTTTAAGGTTTTATATTGAAAGTCGTGATGTTTCAATTAAATATTTAATTAATTAATTTACCCCAATTAATAATTTTAATACGAAAAGATTAAATATTTTTAAAAATTTCAAAGGTTTCTGGACACAAAATACCAGAATTATTTTTATCAATTCCAGAAATTTAATACTTTTTCCAATAATTTCGAAAAAATTCACTGGTTTTTCTCTTAATTTCCTGACCTATATGGCAGCATATAGGATAAGTGCACTAGTTTCTGCGGCATTTCAGCCAAGATATCTTTTGCATATAAAAAAAATATATTTATAGCAAAGGAATTAAATTTATAATTTATTAAAATAATTGTTTGTATTCTTAAGAAGTTTTTGCAAAAATTAATGGCTTATAAAATTCTAGCTTTTGATTAAATTTAAATATTTAAAAAGATCAAAAGTATCAAAAAATATCAGAATATCCCGCGCGCTGTGTCAATTGTATTGCGCTATTGTCAATTGCCCATGTATTTCACATGAATGTTTTAATTGCTGCGGTAAGCAGAATTAAAAGTTGAATAATTAAACTAATTATATTGTAAATGTATATCTTTTTAGACAATTGTATCAAATATTGTTTAAAATAATTTTTTCAATGTTTTTTAAACATTAATATTTTCTTAAGTGATAAATAATTACACATTTCACGAACGAGCATCAATTGAAGCTTATAAATTTTTTTCAATTAAATAAAATCGCAAAGTGCCCATTTGGGCTCTAAAGCTGATCCAAAAAGTGGAACCATTTCAATATATGGCAATGGGTCTCCTTATACTACTTCGTGTACAACTGGAAGCATTGCCTCCTAATATTTTTTTTGTGGCACAGAAAAAAAATTTTTGGTAAAAACTCCCTATTTACGCGAAAAACTCAAAATAATTGAAATTCTGCAAAGAAATTTATCAACTTTTATACGAATAATTGTATTGTATTGAAAATAATTAAATTCTTGCAAAGAATTTTAAAATAGTTGAAATTTTGACAAGAATTTTATAAGAATAATTTTTGAAATTTCTATGTAAAATTATTTATTAAATAATTTATAATAAAGAACAAAACTTGATAAAAAATCTGACGAACAGACATTCGTCAGATTTTTGATTAAAATAAGCTCCTTTACAAAATTTAACTAAAATAAGCTATAAAAATTGTATTACAATATAAGCGTTGCATCATATTTTTGCACAATAGACGCTAGTTTGTGGTACCTTTTAGACTAGAAACTGGAATAATAACGACGAGTAAATAAAATTTGCAAAAGTAACAAAAGACAGGTGGATATTCATGAAACCAAAATAAACAGCCCTTTCATGTTTTGAGAGTAAACCAGTTCACATTTATGAATTTATCTGATAGGAAATCACAACGTGCACTTGTATCATATATATATATATATATATATAGAAAGAGGAAGAGTAAAGATTTCGATTATTTAACAATCTGCAGTATAGTAGAAAGCAGTAGATATATTGATTCGTTGAACCTTTAGTAATAATTCAACAAAGCCAGTTTGCACATGACACGTTTTTTTCGAGAGAGTGCTTTTATTTGTTTTTTCCATTTTTTTTTTGCAATTATTTTGTTGTTTATAACTCAATTTTTTTCAGATGTCAGATTATGGAAGCTACAATTGTATAGCAAAAAATCCGCGAGGAGAGACAGATGGTACAATTCGTATTTATGGTGAGTAACTTTTTTTGTTTTATAAAAAAATTAAAAATTTTTTTAGCGATTGATTGGTAGGTTGATAGGTATATTTGTATTATTTTCTAATTTGTTATATTCGTTTATTTGGAACTCAAAGCCAAGTTTTTCTCTTTTGCTTTTCATTCTTCTTTGTAAGTGAGAAGCGTGTACGAGTCGTAAATTTGAGTGGCTGCATTTACGACGTCACTGATCGAAAGGTAAAACGTGGGTCGCAGTAAACCCGTCGTCAATCAATAAGTACAAAAGAAAATAAATTAAATCTCTTTATAATTATATATATATATATATGTTTAATTTATAGTTCTTTTTATGGCAAATTTTCAATATTATCTGCTCATCTCAAAAATTATTAAAAAATTCTTCAACAAATTGAATTTATTTATTTATTTTCATTTAAACGAAAAATTAAATCGAATTTTTCAAAAGTATGGAATTATTTAAGTAGTAAAAATTTTATATGAATATTTTAATCGAAGTGCTCTAAAAAAGGTAAAAATTGTAAAGTTAGTTTTAGTTTAATTAAAACTTTCCTAATTTTTGTAATTTCTGTAATAGCAGTAAAAGTCAGTAGTACAAATTAGCTAATGTCGGACTTTTACGAGTTCAGGAGTAAAATGTAGTTTTGGTCAGAAATTTTTCTCAAATTCTTCAACAGTAAAACACGATGTAGCGAGTCATAAAAGCAATACTGATTTGTTAATGAGCAAAATACTGACCTATAGAAAGTAACTTTACTTGTTTTCAAATTTTAACTAACAGTTAAGTAGTACAAGTCAACATAGGTCAGACAATTGTAAAAGTAAATTCAAATCTAAAGTTTCGTGTTCTACATAAACATGTTGACAGTAGTAAAGGTCAACGTCAGACACAACTTTCTTGAATGCTTCTAATTATATTAGTAGTAAAATGCAGTTTAAGTCAGACAGAATGTTTATTTATTCAAGTCTTTTTATAAGTAACAAAGGTATTTATAAATACAAAGGAATATTTTTGAATTCTTGTAAAGTTCCTATTAGAACGGTAAATGTGAGTGTTTAGCAAGCAGTAATTCTCTAAGTGCTTGTATCTACTACGACAGTAGTAAAATACACATTTAGTCAGACAAGACTCTTTCTTTATTTAATTCATTTTGTAAAAGTATCAGTAAAAGTTAATGCAAGTTAAATACTTTTCATTTCTTGTATATCTTCCCAATGGGAAATTGCCAATGGTCACCATTGGCTAAATAATGGACCAATATTTGCTGCCAACAGATTTTTCTTGGTCAAACATTAGCAACCAATATTGGGCTATTATTGCTAGAGTCTTGGGATGATCACGACTTTGACAAGCATTGGCAGCCAATATTGGATCACTATTGGCTGCCAAGGCAAATGCCGGACTTTCCAAGCCTTGGTTATTCATTGGCAACAAAGATTGGACCCATATTAATGACCAATTATTTACCAATGCTTTAAAATTAAATTAATGCTTGGTTATTTATTGGTTACCAATACTGAACCAACGTTTGAAATCAATATTTTACAAATACCAACACATAGCAAAAATTTTTCAAGAAAAAAAAATGAATTACTAATCTACAGAAGGAAAAATAATTAATTTAATAAGAACACTCTGTTAAAAACAGAATGTGGAAAAAGTCAGTGCTTGTCAGACGAAACTTGAACCAGCATTAGTTTTGTATCAGTAGTAAAAGTTAATTTAGGTCAGGCTGGTTTTTTATTAATTCTTGTAAATTTTGAATGGTTGGATTATCAGTGTCTTTTCGGCAGACAGTAATTTTTTGTAATTTATTTCTATAATTTTTATATTTTTAAATTTTTTTATTAGTAATATCAAATTTTAGTCAGACAAGTCGTATTCTTTATTTCATTCATTGTATAAATATCATTCAAAACTATTTTATATCTAACCTTTTCATTCCTTTTCTTTTAAATCTTATGTCAGTAGTAAAAGTCAAAGCTTGTTAGACAAAAATTTTTGAATCTCTTTTATTTTTATATCAGTAGTCTAAGTCAAATTCAGTCAGTTAAAATTTTTTTGCTTCATCATAGAAAGGAAGAATTGTATTTAAATCTTTGTCAGTAGTAATATCGAATTTTAGTCAGACAAGACTTTTTTTTATTTAATGAGTTTGATAAATATCTGTAAATCAATGGTCCTCTCCAAAAATTATTATGAATAATAAGTTTGTGGTAAATTTAAATCATTTTCTTGATATAGTTAAAAATGTAGTCTAAGTCTTCCCTTAAATTTGGTATATTAGTAGTAGAAGTCAGCGTTTATCAGACACATCATTTCTAAATGTCTCTTTATAATTTTTTATCAGTAGTGAAAGTCAATTTAAGTCAGGCGGAATATTTTTTAATCTTTGTAAATGTTACACCAATTTTCTCAATGCTTGTAATTTTTGGCAGTAGTAATACAGAATTTTAGCCAGACAAATCTTTTTTTAATTCTTTTGACAAATAGCAGTAAAAGTTACTTGAAGTCAAACAGTTTGTTTTCTTCCAGTATAGTAATTTTTTCGTGTCACTTGCTTTTAAAATGTAAAAAAAAATGTTTCTTCTACTTTTAAAAGTGGTAGAAAAAATGTCCAGTGAGACAAGAGCGTGTAATCCAAAATAGATATTTTCGTAAAATATTGCAGATTTTATGAGTTTAAAAGCATAGAAAGTGACTATAGTTGGGTCAACTATAGCTCAATGCTCGTTAGGTGGGAAAGGTAGTTGGATGATTTCACGGTCGTAACGTATGCATATGACATGAAGGGTTGGTTTGTATGCGACGAGTAGACAGAGTCGTGTGCTCTCCATTAGCATGCATCGGTTTTTCGCATTAGCGCCATTCAAATGAAGAGAGCGTTTAGCATAAAAGGCTGGCTGCAAAAAGAGAGCGAACTTTGCCTCTCACCATTTCTTCTTACACTAAACCTGGCCGATGAAATGAGATGCTTTAGTCTTGCTGTTTAATTTCTATATTAGTCTCGCGAATTACTCATCGCTATCGATCTTCAAATATTTAATTCTTTGTTTCTTTATTTACACAGTTTTTCTAAGATTATCAAGTTGAGACAAAAAAATCTATTGTGAATTACACGCTCTTGTCTCACTAGAAATTTTTTCTACTACTTCACTACATTTTAAAAGCAAGTGACACGGAAAAAATAACTAGGTATACTGGAAGAAAACAAACAAGAATTGGAAGTAAATTTCTTATCTGAAACTGACTTTTAGTATAGTGATATCAAATTTACGGCAATTTAAAAAAAAATTCCGTTTGAACTAAATTGACGTTTACTGCTCAAATAAAAGTAAGAGGCATTTAGAAATGTTGTGTCCGACATACGCTGACTCGTACTACTGATATTGCGAATATCGAAAGAGAAATGGAAAGAAACTGTTTGACTTAAGTTACTGTTACTGCTATTTGTCAAATGAATTAAAGAAAGGCTTGTCTGCCTAAAATTCGATAGTACTACTGACAAACATTTAAATACAATAAGGTAGTTCAAGTTGGGTGGGGGAAATCCAATATGGCTGACATCAGCTGATTTACCGGAGGACAAACAATGCATTGAATTCAATGGGACAAATCAGTTTTTTAACCATAACTTTTTAAATATTTATTTTTGAACCATAGTGTAATGGAAAATTATTCTTTATTTATCGAAATCTATTTTTTAAAACAATAAAACATCATCTTTAGAAATTCTTTGACTTTAGCCACAAAATCAGAATTTTTCGACTATAGCAAAAATTTCTATTTGCTCTATTTTACTCAGTACTGAATTATATTTCTTCTTTCGTATTGAAAAACATATCAACTTGGGATCAATTTCTTTCATTTTCTAATCGTTTCGTCTGCAAATAATCCAGAAGAGAAACGATAGAAATATAAGTTTAAAAACGAATTCGATATTGTGTAAAGAAAAATCATTTTGTGAGGAAAAGAATAGATCAAAGGTTAGTCAGAAATGAATTCTTCTTTCGTAACTTAATTCGAAACTTTTTAAATAAAAAACTCTTATCTTTTGCAATTTTTCCAAAAGCAGACATTCTTTCTTGTATTTCCGATTTTTAGATTATTTTTATTATTATAAATAATAATAAAAATTATTATTGCGTTTTGTGCTCCAACTCGCTGTTTGTGGTTCTATTAATTTAATAATTAATTGAATAATGAATCAATTAATTAATAGTTTTAATAAATGATTTTAATTTGACCTTAATTTTCGTACTCGATAATTTTTAACTGAAATTCAATTTTAAATCATTTTTCATTTGAAATTTCTACAAGTATTCAATTATTTAAATACAAAAATAAATAATTGAATATTTCTTAAAAATAAATTCTTACAAGAACTTTATCAAAACTTTTTAAAGTAATTGAATTCTTTCCATGAATTTGTAATAAAATTTTCAAGAATAATTACATTTTTCAAAGAATTTATTTAAATTTGTATTAAAAACAATTAAAATTAAATTTAATTAAATTAATGAAATAATTGAATTCCAATGAAAATGTTATTATTTATAAAAGTAATATATAAAAATAATTTTAAAAAATGAAATTTAATTGTTTCGAATAAAATTCAAGTTAGTACGAGGAGTTTAATCGGACAATTCGAAATTGGAAGTTTCGACTTTCGAATTGCATAACATACAGCATACACATCATAGCACATTACATAGCAATTCGAAAGTCTAACTTCGATATTCGAATTGGCCGACTTGATTCGAAAATCGAGTCGAGTCGAGTAATTCGAAAGTCGAAACTTCGAATTTCGAATTGTCCGATTCGAATCGAAAGTTAACCTAGTCGAGTCGTGCAATTCGCAATTCGAAATTTCGAATTAGCCGATTCGAATCGAAAGTAGAACGAGTCGAGTTGTGCAATTCGAAATTCAAAACGTCGATTTTCGAATTGACTAGTTCGAATCGAATTATCTCCGATTCGAATTCTCTGTTGCCGAG